TAAAAAGTGAAAAGTAATATAATTTTATATAAAAATGGTAAGAGAGAAAATAAAGGTTAAATACTGGTCAAAATCTATATTAATATGTTTACAATTGGTTAATACCTAAAATTTAAAATAATATTAATATCCATTTTTAGATTGATTGATATATATAGAACTATGCTTAAATTTAATTTTTGAAACTTCATTTAACATTCTCTGAGTGCAAAATTGGTATGATGTTAATTGTACGATTTAATTTGCCTATTTTATTGTATATATAAGAAATCATGAGAAGTTTAAAAAATAAGAAAATCAAGAAAAAAGGCGAAATATCAAAACTGTAAATGCAGAATGTCTGTAATGCAAGCAATTGATGTATTGATGAATAAAAATGGTGGTTGTTATATCACAAAAGAGAAAAAAAAAGCTACAGGAATGTGCAAAATATTTTCCCACAGTAACATGTGGCATTCGCTCTCCAGGATGGTTGCGTAACCATGTCCCTTGGGCACATTTAAGATAAGTCTTGAATGGTCCATACACACTACGATCTAGTGGCTGGAGTTTATGACTTGTGTGTGGAGGAAAACTTAGCAAAATTATGCCATTTTCCCTGGCAAAATCAATTGTAGCAATCGACATATGGGGTCCGCAGTTGTCCAAAAGCAGGAGCTTAGGATGATCTTTGGAAGGGTGAGCATATTTTACAAAATGCAAGAAAGTCATCACCACTCATCCATCCAGATCCATTGCTTCGGCCTACACATCCTGGTGGTCCATCTTGAATCATCCGCTCAAAGAACTGCTTCCTTGGGAACAGAAACATGGGGGGGGGGGGGTGGCATTCCCCACAGCATTAACTGCTTGGCAAACTGTAACAAGAGTGCCTCTCTCTGCATTTACAATTGCACCCACTTGTTTTTCACCTTTCTTAGCAACAACTTTAGAGGGCTTCTGTACAGTTGTCGCACCAGTTTCATCGACGTTCCATATGTCATTTGGACTGAAGTGATGCCTGTCCATTACAGTTGCTAACTTGTTGAAGAATAGATTAACATTTGGCCGGTTAAAGTTGATGGCTCGTGCTAAAATTGTGGCCTCTGGTTGTCGAATGCTAATATTCTGTTGCCGCTTCATAAACGATGTAAACCAATCTTTCCCGGCTTTTTTGTTTTTCAACCAACTTTCAGGAACGGCAATATTATGAGCTGTTGCAATCTCGCATGCAAAGGATCTTATGTCATCAGGGGTCATGCCAAAATACATGGATGAAGCCCGAATAATGTACTGAACTAGCTGGTGTTCTTGCTCATCTGTAAACACTTGTCAATTTTTTTGGTAACCGATCTTGGCCGTAGAAACAATTCTTACAATGTCCATCCAATTTCCGAGTTGATTATCTGCATCTAAAAACAACAAATTAAATCTAATTAGCACATTATTTTTTGATAAGAAAAATAGTAAAGTATTTACACTTGCTCAGTTAAGTTATGTATTTAAATAATAATTTAAAGTTATTTCTGATGACATACAGTAGTCAAAATATTGAATGGCAACACGGTGACTTGTATTCCAATACTTGGCATATGTATTATACGATCTTAAGTTTATTTACCTGCTTTAATTTTGTTGACATGTCTTTGTAGGGTGCTATATGACACTCCAAATTCTTTAGCAACGGCACGGACAGGCAATTGATCATGTAAAACTGATCTGACGGCACGCCGTATAAGGTCTGTGTCTTTGCCCTGCTCTGACTTCCGTTTAAAATTTCTTACCATAATGATGGTAGACCTAAAAATTTTTAAAAATTATCAAAATTATTATAAATCATGTAAAATTTAAAAAAAAAACAACAAATGCATGCAAGGTATGCCATTTAAGTTTTTAAATCTTAGCCTAGTACTATTCTAGGCCTAGTGCTAGTCAATACCTAGAACCAAGTGTGTAAGAATAAGCCAAAGTCTTAATTATAGGCTTAATTGTACACATAATGCTAGGCCGCTGACGTGGGGATGGTTGAATCACCTGACTCAACCAACCCCACGTAGACCACGCTATGTATTTTGTCAAATTACACCACGTTATGATGCTTCAGACGTGATGAGGCTAGGTGTATTTTGTACCCTAATACATAAGCTTCAAAACTATACTTTGGATTTTCGAATATTAATTACCTAAAAATTACTAATTAATAATGTGTACAAATTAAAAAATGTCAACTTACAGGCTTGAAAGCAGGTAAACGCAATAGAATAATAAGATAAATTTTGGCGATGAGATTTTTTATGCAGAAGGCTTCGTAATGTGATACAGTTGCCAGGCCCAATCTAAAAATTTGTCCAATTTCTTTATTCCAGGCGCAAAACCAGCTGATTCAACCAACCCCTGACCCAACCAACCCCGTCCTCCCTAAATAACTCACAGTGGACATTTTACAATGAATGTAGGCCTAAAATGGCAATATCTTACATCAGACAGTAACTTCACACAACTTTGTAGGGCATCTGGCAAAAAATAAACTTCAATTCACTCACACTTTTTTTAAGTTGTAAAGTAAAAAGCTAAAAAAAAGCTTTTTTAAAGTTTATTTGCCTTTCCACCCCCTATTATTTCAGTGAGTTAAGGAAGGCGGATTATGGCAAATAAGCAGATATTTTTGCCTTATATATGTCATAAAAATATACTATTTTAAACATTGCATGTTATTTTGAATGAACATTTTCATGCATATAATGTGAAAGTGTACAGATTTGTCCCCTCACCTCTCCTCCCCCCAACCAGGCATACTGTTTGTACACTTGTGAAAATGTTGATAATTGTGAACGACCCCTAAAACAAATACATACTGAGATCTATAAAATTATATAAATTTATTAGCTCAGTAAAAGAGATGTTCTAAAAATTTGGTAAGCCTACAAAAAAATTCTATATAAATATATGGCATATAATTAACCAAAATTATGAATCACTGTATTTAAATTGAATTAGTTATATTATCACCTTTTATCATCATCACGAATATATTGATTCTTTCTGTAAATGTATGCTACTCTTGCTACTCTTTAAAATAATGTAGTCTAGGCTTAAGAATGTAGTTTTAACATACAATTTGTGTTTTATTTTAACTCGGACCATGTGACTATTTAATCAATTGCAAGTTTAGTGTATAAATATCAGTTTATTTTTAACACTAAGTACAGTAGTAAAATGATAATATTCAACTTACTCTTTTTCTAGTTCACTGACCACGCATGCAGCTATTGGTCGGTCATATGGATCTACAGTAGTGCACTGGAAGTATATACACATTAACTTCTTCCACTTCGTCTCTTGGACAGCTCTGTATTTTGTAGAATTTGATGGGCGTATGCCATTTTCCTGTTGTTTCATTAGGAAACTTTGGAAACCAAAGGGAGTTTTTTCCTTCGTGTCTAGTTGATATGGATATCGTACTCCAGGATTACAGATGTTATAAATTGTCATTCCTAATGCCCA